CGTATTTAAAACTGAAATTTCTATTTTCCCCTGAGCATTCTCTATGCCCTTTTTGTGCTTTATTGTTCACCCTAATATTTAATTAACATCTGACATGCTGTATATGTATATGCTTGTTGATTTGCTCTTTTCCCATGGGAAGGTAAACTCAGGGCAGAATACTCTTCATGTTCTTTATAGTGACAGAATTGGTGCCTAGCTCATAATGGGCATTTAATAAATGTTTGTTGAAAAAATGAATAAAGAATCACCATTCATTTTAAAAGCTGATGTCAGACTAATTCATGCAATCCCAAGGGATTCATGATTTTTGAGGCAAATTTAATATGACTTGTTCCAAACAATAGATTATTTGCAACAAAATGGTTTGCTCGGAATGCTTTTGGAAATTTGCATTTTAGGAATCTATATACTTGGATTATGAGTTTGTATTACGTAAGTGGGCAGTCTGTCTTTGATAGGTTTACACACTTACCTACCTCTTTTATCTACCTCTGTAGATATGAATGCTACAATACGAAGAATTGACCAGTTAACCAACATCTTGGCCCCCATGGCTGTTGGCCAGATTATGACATTTGGCTCTGCAGTCATTGGCTGTGGCTTCATTTCGGGGTGGAATTTGGTGTCCATGTGTGTGGAATACTTTCTGCTCTGGAAGGTTTATCAGAAAACACCTGCTCTAGCTGTGAAAGCTGCTCTTAAAGTAGAGGAAGCTGAATTGAAACAGCTGAATTTACATAAAGGTAAGCTCAACACAATGGTCAATTCCTTTTATTCTGATGTTCAGACCTTAAATGTTGATGAAGACAAAAACTACTTTGAATTTATATCCGGTTTATTACTGTTGAAGGAGTTAAATATATGAATCAAACCCAGGCTTTTGACGGCCTGAGGAGCAACTCTGGGTTGAATCTCAGGGAGTTGGAATGGGACCCCTGACCCTTTTCCTTAATATGAGCAGTAGACATGGAGGGGAAATTAATTGAGGGATGGCTGGGAAAAATTGAGTCATAGGAATAGGAAGAACAATGGGGGGGAAAAGGGAATAAGAGAATTCATTAGAGTCTGTGAAGAGGAGTTACGTGACTATTTGTAGAACAGTGGAAGGGAGTGCGGACATGAAGGTGGGCATTTCCCACAAAGAGGAAATTGGGCTTCTGGGCGAATAGAATCTTAACAGGGCCCCAGAAAATAAAATGCTGTGGTTTTCCAGACAATTACTATATTTTTATTTGATGGGTTTTCCTGTTATTTACTTTGGTGGGAGTATAATTTCTTTTTTTTTTTTTTAGGTGGGAGTATAATTTCTAAGGGGGTCAGTGGGGAAAGGGAGACAGACCATAGGAGAGAGGGGTATCAATAGTATGTTGTTTATTTAACGTAAATGCTACTTGGAGATTGTTCCTTGGCTGAAATTCTTAGATTAGTAAAAGAAAATACATATTATATTGATATATATAATGATGTCTTTTATTAATAGAAACTGAGCCAAAATCCCTGGAGGGAACTCATCTAATGGGTGAGAAAGGCCCTAATGTCCATGAGCTTGAAGTTGAGCAAGAGCCGAGCTGCGCCTCCCAGATGGCTGAGCCCTTCCGCACCTTCCGAGATGGATGGGTCTCCTATTACAACCAGCCGGTGTTTCTGGCGGGCATGGGTCTTGCTTTCCTCTATATGACTGTCCTGGGCTTTGACTGTATCACCACGGGGTACGCCTACACTCAGGGGCTGAGCGGGTCTATCCTCAGTATTTTGATGGGAGCATCAGCCGTCACTGGAATAATGGGAACCGTGGCTTTTACTTGGCTCAGGAGAAAATGTGGCCTGGTTCGGACGGGCCTGATCTCAGGATTTGCACAGCTTTCCTGTCTGATCTTGTGTGTCATCTCTGTGTTCATGCCTGGAAGCCCCTTGGACTTGTCTGTTTCTCCTTTTGAAGATATCCGTTCTAGGTTCATTCAAGCAGAACCACTGTCCACGATGACCCCTACAAAAATACCTGAAAGCATCTTGACAACTGAAACGTACATGTCAAACGGGTCTGACCCTGCTAATATTGTCCCAGAGATGAGTCCTAAGTCTGTGCCCATAATCTCTGTCAGTCTGCTATTTGCAGGCGTCATTGCTGCTAGAATCGGTAAGTCCTCTCTCTGTGTGTTGATGAGCTAAAGTGTCTTTCTGCAATGCAGGTTCAGAAAACTCTACAATAAATGACCTGAAATATTCCCGAGTGTTAATTTAAGCAAAATCCATTATTTATCCTTAGGTATGATCCAGTCTTTAATTATGAAATCTTTATTTTATAGTTTAAAATATAGTGTGTATATAGGTACATATACTGTCTTAACATGATTAGGGCTTGAAATTTTTTTTTTATAAATGAACATCTTAAGTATTACTCCTATTGTAATTTAATTTTCAAAAAGATAGCTATAATAATTATAATGCCATTTAGTAATTTGGAATCTTTATATTGCTATAACTCTGCCAAAAGGACTATTATAATTAGGGAATACTTGTATAGGACAAGGTAAAAAAGATAGTGTTTTTGGTTTCAAAAAAAAAAAAGGCATGGTAGCTGGAAGAAAAGTCCTTCAAAAAGTCTCTCTAGCTTATGTGTGTTTATAGTATACTTTGCCAGACAAATGGATTTTATAGCTCTGGAAGGAAACACACTGTAAAGACCTCTTACAAGGCAAAATTTAATTATTAATAGAGTACTGATGAATTATCTCTACCTGAATTTGTTCTTGAAATGAAACCGTATTTATCTTGTGATACAAAGCAATTCATTAATTTATCAAAGACAATTAATATTCAAGCAAGACAGCTTTATTGTAGCAGCTTTAGAACCCAAGCAGTAAATGTAATCATGGTTTAAAGTTTCCTTAAACTTTAACCATAAGAATATATTAATACATTCACTTTAAGCCTTCTAATACTTGAGATTTATTGTCTCTGATTTCAGAGTTTTGCTTTTGTAGTATAAACACAGAAAAATAGAATTAAAAAGTTTGTAGATTAGACTTATTTTTGGATGGTGTGGTAGCTATAAAAATCATTTCTTGAAGCCATTAGTAAACCAGGATTTTGTATCTTATTTTATTTTTTATTTTTCAAGTTTTTACTTAAATTCCAGTTAACTAACATACAGTGTAATATTAGTTTCAGGTGTAGAATTTAGTGACTCAACACTTCCTTAACACACCAGTATTTACTGATGAAAAAGAATTCTCAAAGACAAGGCTATGATGAATATATATATACACAGTGACTTTAAGGTACTAGGGATAAATGTATATTTTGCGCATGTCAACATTTTTAAACTGTAAATCTGAAATGTAAAGCTATAAATTAAAATTCAGTCTTTACCAATTATCTTTTATTAATAGGTCTTTGGTCCTTTGATTTAACTGTGACACAGTTGCTGCAAGAAAATGTAATTGAATCTGAACGAGGCATTATAAATGGTGTACAGAACTCGATGAACTATCTTCTTGATCTTCTGCATTTCATCATGGTCATCCTGGCTCCGAATCCTGAAGCGTTTGGCTTGCTCGTATTGATTTCAGTCTCATTTGTGGCAATGGGCCACATCATGTATTTTCGATTTGCCCAGAAGACTCTGGGCAGCAAGCTTTTTGCCTGTGGTACTGATGAAAAAGAAATCGCGAATGAAAATCAAACGAATACATCTGTTGTGTGAGACAGTTGAGCTGTTGCTGCCCTTCTTACTAGGTTATATAGAGCACGTATGCTTGTTTTGTACTTCAGCATCCCAAGAAATGGCTAGGTGGTGTTTCTCTCTGGTTTACCCCAGTTGTATTGTGAGGGCTAAAAGCTATTTAGGAAACTTAGGTCAGAGGAAGTGAGCTGGTTAATTTCTCTTACACTTAAGGATGGAAAAAAAAAATTCAGAAAAGAAAAACTCCGTTTAAACGTAGAGAGTAGAATGGTAGCACTGATTTTCCCTATTTCTCATGAGTAGATAAAATTTTACATGAAGAGCGGTTAGTCATGGGATTTAACTTAATTCTTTGGCAGATATTTATTATCTGTGCAAGAATTCAGATATGTCATTTTTCCCTAAAACTCATTCATGTCCAGGTCTAGCTAATTTACTTTCTTTTTAGCATCTCATTCACATTATAAAAAGCAAATTCTGCTTCACGGATGAAGATGAGAGTTTGAGAAACAGTATTATTCTTATGGATCCTATTGACTGTAAGGGATTTACATTTATATGGAAAAATGAAATCCTTAACTAGAATTCCCAAATAGGATTTATGGTTGTAACTTTAGAGAGCACCTTTGTATTTTTATTATCATGGTGAAATATTGTATTAAGCATATATATGTAGCACTTCATAAATGGCTATCACGTAAGCTGCAGGTAGAAGCAAAGCTGTAGATTTATAACACAGTAAACGCATAAGGACTTCAAATACGCTGATGGTTTGGCCATAGAAACTAGAAGCTAAAAGTCACACAGAAGGGCAAGATCTGAACGGAACTCACACCACCGTCATTTATGATCTCTATCTTGGAATATGAGGGAGTAAGCTTCCAGCCTGGTAAATGAAATGTAGAAAGCAAGCTCACATGCGGGAAGGTTTTGTTTTAAAATCATCTGATTTACTTTAAAATGTGCTTGGGTAGAGCATTTTTACTTTCACTGTTTTGTACCCTGGAGTTATTTTTACACAGTTGTAGAGCAAGACTGTTCGTCAGCGTATCCCTTTCAAATGTCTTTGAGAAGAATGGAGGAAAAGAAACACTTTTGTATGTATTTAAAACAAACAAACCAACCTGTTTTACAAGTCATTTTGCGACATGCCAGTACCAAGATGGTACTTTGCCTTAACCGTTTACGCACTTTCATGGAGACGGCAATACATTGCTATGAGCACTTTCTTTATCCTTGAGGTTTAATCTTCTTCCTTCTTTCTATGACATAATGATTTCCGGTTGTAAAATCTTTGTAAAATATTTCTATATAAAAACATTTTTAAAATCTTGATTCCTTTTTCCTGAGTTGCGCTCCCCAATTCTTTAATACTGTTTTTGTTACAGAACGTCGGTTTTGGATAAGGTATTTTTTTTCCTCTCTATAACTATAAAGGATATAACACTATAATTTGTAGTGTCACCGTACTGTTTGTATGTACAGTTTATGGTAGCTTTGAGGAAAATACGGCAACCGTGAAGCCCAGCCCTCATTCCTTGCCCTTGAAGTCACATTGAACTCTCTGAGTTCTATTATTTCTTCCATCAAGTGGAGATGCTACTGTAAAGCCAACTCTACCCTCCTCATAGCTTTCCTGACCAAGACAAATCAGAGAAGTCACGTGAAAGCACTTTGTGCCTCTCAGACCAGGTGGTGGTAGGACCAGGAGTTGGGCCTAACTGATGACAGACAGACAAAGCTAGATTCCTGCTGTAGTCCCCAGAGGACAGCCACACTCTATACTCAGCCAATGTTTACCGAAGACGAGATCTGTACCCCAGACTGAGGCGTCCTGGGGTGCAGATTTGATGCAGACGTGGTCGATCAGAGGCTCCTTTTCTTTCCCCTGACACTGGGAACTTGAGAACTTTTGATGTCACCCCCGAGCTATGGATCTGCTCGTGACCTTTAAACAGAGAGTCGATGTGTCTGTAAGGTTTGGCGGCTGGTGTTGAACACTTCCTCTGCTCCCTCCCCCCGGGGGTGGGTTGAGCTGGGGTTGGAGTTCTGGCCCGAGTGTTTGCAGCTGTAACGCAAGGCCTGTGACCTTGGAAAATGAAATAGAAGCATGTTAGCAAAGGAAGGTCGCGGCTCTTCATGTGGGCATTTTGCCAAATTGCGGGTCTGGGGAGAGCGAGGCCTGTGTAGGAGGAAGGAGCATGGAGTTGGAGGATCGATAGGAATTTTTACAGCGGCCTCCCTTATCTTTGCCGAGTGCTGTTGAGAGCAGGAAGAGGAGGGGAGGGGCGTCACTGCGGGCCTGGCAACCTCTACTGTTTACCACCCCAGGCATCCGAAGTAGGGCCCCGGGGGCGGATGACAAGTCCTGCCTCTGGGTGTGTTTCTAAGTAGGGGGACAAACTCAAACACTTGTGCGGTCACTTAGGTCACACAAATGAGTGAAGCGGCCTAGATAGAGGAAATTGTTTTTCATTTAACTTGTAATTACATTTCATAAAAGAATCACTTATTTTGTTCCCAGTCAAAAAAACTATTACATGCTTTTCATGCTTTGTTCCACATGGGCTTCATATGGTGGTTATTCAGTTCGTTCTTTCAACGTAGGCATTCTTTGCGGACTAAACGCAGAAAGCCATCCGTCTTCATTCCCGTAAAGAAATACGCCTTCTTCCATTTACTTCCTGAAACATCTGGCTTGCTTGATATTCCTTGCATTGCTCCCCACCTCCCTCCGCCCCGGAAAAGAAAGATAGGGTGTAAGAAATTTCTTTCCTGTTTACCATAAGACAGAAAAGCAATGCAAGAGGCGCAGTAAATGGAACACAGCCCCGGAGGTGCTGTTGGGAGGCAATGGTGTGGTGAGGCTCTGGTGAGCTAAAGGGGCAGCCGGGAGCAATTCCTGTTGCCGGGCAGGTACGTGGGCCTTGGGTTAACATCTTTGCATCTTTCCAGAGAAGCTGGGAATCTGGAGTTTTGTGTGAAATCTCCAAATTCTTAAATAGTGGCAAGTAATTTAAAAGTGCTAAAACATCTTTCTTGCCGAACAATCTCTACCTATGGGCTACCCATGAGCCACCATGGGTTGCCATGTTTGAGTTTTTCTCTAAGAGGATAGTTTGTGAATAAGAGAATGGTATTTGAATAAAGTGTAAGGAGAGCAGGTATATATACAAAAATTGTGGAGTACAGAGAACAAGAAAGAACTGGGCAGAAGACATCCTTTATTGGAGATCATTTAAGGTCAGATAATCTATGCATTTATTACCTGCCATATTGATGTCAATGACCATTGTGCCCCAAAGTTCTTTATTCCATGTGTTGTTTACACTGTTGGGTTAAAGGATAATGATGATTAAAAAAAAAAAAAAAAGCTTCTAAAGTTTTTCTGAATTATATATTGTGCTCCTGTTTTGAAAAAGAAAAAGCAAGCACAGAATTTTATATTGACAAAAGTCCCCTTTTCCCAGCCCACTCCCTGAGTCCTCAGGATACCCACTGTAAACAGTTTAGGGTATATCCTTACAGATAATTTCTTTGTAATAAAGTTTAAAAAATAACTCTATATCATCATTTGGTTGCTTCACCAAGATTTGTTGATCTCTATCTATATCCATTCATTGATTTATAAGTGTATATGTTTCCCCCAAATTGAGTTAAAGTCATGTTTGCATTAAGGCTGTTGATATAGCAATTAAAAAAATTTTAAAACATAGAACAGATTGAAAACTTTAAAAACATAAAAGTAGGTATACAAATCTCTAGTCAAATATATTTATAATGCCTGAGAAATTCAGTCTGAGATTCCTTTCAGCCAAGACAAAAGGCCACAGAGTTTTACCTTTCCCCCGCAAATGACACTTACTTGAAACTCTTTATTACTTCAGTCAAACATTGCTGCTCTCCCGTCTCCTTTTCTCCCGTCTCGATCCACCTTTCAGAATAATCTTTGCTATCAGAACATTTTTGTTTTACAACATAGCAACTCAAGAGTAGAGTTGAAATGTTGGAAGAACCTTGTGACAACACATACACACTCATCTCAAACAAGTTTGAACCGGCTACATATAAGTCAACACTTTAAAAGTTAAGTGACTTTTTTCCTTATATGGAGACTTGTTTACATTTTCCAAGTCCAAAAGGGAGCAAATATTTTATCTAAAGGATGGACAAATGAGAGATCAAAGTACAAGTAAGTGCTTTTTTCCCACATTCTTCACCCTGGCCTCTATGTGAATCAGTATATATTTTTCTATTTGAACATTTTCCTTATTGCATTTTAGTGGGAGAAAAGTGCACTGAAGTAGTTATGTTCTAAACTGTCTGAGAAAGAGGTTGTCCTCAACTCATGTAGACAGTTGTAGTGATGATTACAAATGCTAATCTAATTAAATTGATTGACAATGTAAGAGGATAAATATGTTTTATGGTAATTAAAACACTTCAGGAGAAATATATGTTTGAAGAACTGATTTTCTTACAAAATGATCCCTAATAAGCAGGACACAGTCACATAACAACTCATACCGAAAGGAATATTTGAACCTAACAAATACATATATATTCTAGAAAGAATGGTTATCCATGGATAGGTTTGTTTTTTATCTGCTACTATGTATTTGACCAAGTACAGACAGATATCTTCTTATCTGCTAATTATAAAGTGTTTAAATAAAAGTACAATGGAAAACAACTAACATTTTAACATCTGTTATTTGTCAGTATTTTTTTTATTTAATCCTCACCATAACTCAGTGAAGAAGGTATTATTATCTGTGTTTTATAGATGAGGCAACTGAATCTTAGAATTAAGTGTCATGTGCTTGCACAGCAAGAAGTGGTAGAATCTAAAACCATTTCTGTCTATAACAAAAGCTATCCTCTTTTATCTCCATGCCACACAACCCTAGCATGGGTTTTTTCTAGTGGGAAGTGCCAGAAAATCCTTAATGTCCCTCAGGAGTCTATTTGTTTATGGCAAACATATTTTAACTTACACAGGGAAATGGGTATAACTTTATTAACTGACTCACTGAACAAGAAGTTTTTGAATTGGAATTGCATTTCCAGGGAGCTAAAGTTTTTCCAGTTCATAGCCACCACACCCATTTAAAATGTCTTGGTTGGTCCTTGTGCAGCATTTACAATACTGTGGGATGTATGACTAAGGTATATTAGGGTGTAGGTCCTAACAGCTCTATGAGGTGGAATAGGGAAATGATTAGGAGCAGCACAGAGCTCTGGGTTTAAATTCTGGCCTTGTTATTTACCAGCTTCTGTGCTCCTGGGTAAACTGTTTAGCTTCCCTGAACCTTTGCTTGCACAATGGGAATATTAATACCTATCTCATAGGGGATCAGCATTTTTAGCCCAATACCTGATATAGAGCCCCCAGTAAAGTGTTTCCCAAATTCACGTGAGAAAGAATTAAGGATATTCTTTGTTTCAATATCATTTATTTTTACTTGAATTACTCTTACGTAAGTGTAGCATGTTGGATGGACTATTCAGTTAAATATACCAATTAATTTTACCTGTTCATTTTTTTTCTTCAAATGTAGCATATTCCCTTTGACAGTGGAAGTCTATAAGCAGATCTGTCTAGAAGAAAAGTACACTGAATTTACATTTAGTTTTAGGTCTTTGGAAAACAATTAGCTGAGATTTCTTTTGTGGACATCAGAAAGAACGTCTGTTTTTAAAAACAGGAAAATTCTCATCACAGTTTTTTTTTTTCATCATCACAGTTTTTAATTCTAATATTTCCTAAACTTCTAGGCACTTCTCTGTAAATAAAAAGGAGAGGGGGACAGAAGACTAGAAGGATGAAGAGAAGACAGATGAAAGGAAAGAGGGTAAGATATTGGGGCGAATGGGAAGGGAATTCACAACGCAAGTTCTTAATCAGGGACAGTCAACAGAGTCCGTATGTTTATCTACTCTTCTTCCTCAGATGTCACTGAAATGACAGGAAATGAGTTCTAAAAACCTTCAGCTTCTTTTCTTGGCTTGTTCTCAACCTAGGGTAGAATCTTCAGCAGATAAAAGGTACATTTCTGGCATAAAGAAACAAGCAGGTGAGAACATATTGACATCTAAGCCCTGGCGCAAAAGGCTGTAGCAGAGGTGTGAGCTACCTTTCCTGGCGTAGCTTGTCTTGACAGGTATAGAGAGCCCATGAGGAAAGTGGGCAGAAGCACTGAATACAAAACAGCTGCTCCCCTCCACCTATGGAGAGCATGTATGCAGTGCTAATGACATGAGGACATTTGCAAAGTGAACAGTTAGTCTGGAGAGGGTTAATGCTTCTAGTGAAGGTGTGGACCCCCTAGAGAAGCCCACCTGTTCTAATACTGGAAGTGAAACTGTGATTATCTTTGTGCTCTCTGCCTATGTGTCTTAAAGAAGCCTAGCCCTTGACATGACTTGCCCACTTACTCAGAAATCTTCCCAGAGCGGTGTCTATTGAGAAAAAACAACCTACTCAACAGTAGAGGAAATCCACATAAGCTACTTCAATTCATCGACCTAGACTGCCTTTCATGTGTATGAACAGATAACCAGTGATGACCAGACACCTGGGAAAAACCAACAACTCCAAATAATGGGACTAAGATGAATAAAAAAAGTGATGAACCAAGAAAACCCAGAGATAATTTAGGAAAGAAAACAGATTTTTTCAATTCTAGTTAATATCCTCAGAGAGATTCAAAAAGGAATGCTATCTATAAAGTAAGTACAAAGTTTTATGCAAAAAGAGAACAGGAGGAAATTACTAGAAATTAAAAATATGACTCTCCCCAAAATTCAATAAAAAAATGAATTTAAAAGTAGAGCAAAGAGACAAAAATAAAGTATAAGAGAAAAATAAGCGACCTTAAAGATGGATGTCAGGGATGTCAAATACCTTTCTACTGACAAATTAAGCAAAAAAAAATGGAGATGAATGGAGAGGGAGGAAGGAGAAGGAGTTGGATTACTTAATGATACAATGAAGGGTTCATATGTTTCTTGTCCAATAGAAAAAAAAGGTAACTAGAAAATTCAGAAAAAAAACCCCAAAACTTGCACAAGTCATTTCCATAATGACACAAAGTCAACTGTGGCATGATTCTGAGGAATTGTTGGAGTAAAACAAAGGATAATTAATTTTAGGGGTGCCTGGGTGGCTCAGTTGGTTAAGCATCTGCCTTCAGTTCAGGTCGTGATCCCAGGGTCCTGGGATCAAGTCCCATGTCGGGCTCCCTGCTCAGCGGGGAGCCTGCTTCTCCCTCTGCCTCTTCCCCTCCCCCTGCTCATGCTTGTGCGTGCTTTCTCTCTCTCAAATAAATGAATAAGATAATTAATTTTACTTTGATTCTTAGATCATTTTCTTCGAGTGGTGACATAATAATATGTCATTTAATTTTTAGAATTAACCACTAAGTGAAGCTCAGAAGCTTTTTAATAAAGCTTTAAGACAAGGACAGTGTGGCTGTAAATGTAAATGTTATAAATTCTTATAAGTTAAAAGTCTTGGTGTAGTTGACAAAAGCTAGGAGTTGGTGGTAGAAAAGAGGTGAAAGATAGTGTAGGGTTCTTATACCCTCATTTTATAGAGAGGGAATTAAGACACTATCTAAAAATGATGACAATAACTTTAAGCATGTTATATGAAATGATATAAATTGCATCATTTGAAAGCAATAGAAAGCAGGACATAATGTGAAATTAATTCCTTATCTCTTATAATACATCACTGAGAGATAATGTCTCAGGTTGTTAAATCAAGAAATAGGTATCAGTAGTATTGAAAATTTGATGTAGCTGGCTTACCTGAGCCACTCTAGCAGATTCTAATAGTTACCCAAGTCTCTTATCTATATTATCAACTCATTCTTCGCAAATACAATTCTTTTTTTTTTTTTAAGATTTATTTATTTATTTG